TGCCAGTAACATGAATTTAGCCATGGAGTTATGTGAAATGTTTCCTAAAGATCTGGGGTGCACCGGACACACCCTACAGCTAGCCATAAAAGCTGGCTTAGTCTTACCTGACGTTTCTAAGGCTATTGATGTAGCAAGGAGAGTTGTCAGTCACTTTCGCCACTCAGCGGTAGCCACTTGTGCCCTTAGCAAATGACAGGAACAACTTGGCATAAGACCCAACAAACTTCAGACTGATTGTGCGGTCCGATGGAATTCCACATACGTAATGATCCAGCAGCTGTTCGAGCAAAGAATTGCGGTGCAATCTGTGCTCGCAGATGAAACCGTCACCAAACCAGCCATCCAAAAGTCACTCGCCCTGAGAGCATCACATTGGGAGATGCTGGAACAGCTGATTGCTGCAACCTTTGGCCAAGGCCACCGAAATAATGTGTGCGGAGTTGCATGTGGGGCTGTCTTTCATCTTTCCAGTCATTTTCAACCTGATCCGCACCACTCTGCGTGTCGAAGCATCTGACATGACAGCTGTACGTGCCTTTAAGAACACTGTTCGATGGCAGTTGGAAACACGGTTTAAACTGGAGTCCGACGATCTGACAGAATCCATCTCCACTGTGGCCTGTATTCTCGATCCTCGGTTTAAACATCTTCATTTCATCCCAGAGGATAAAAGAGAGGCCGCTCACAGCCACCTGAACAGCCTGGTCCAGGATGAGGGAGAGCCGCTTGCAGCAAAAGGTAATTTAATGTAATAATTTGTTATCTGTTAAGTTATTAGGCAATGCCATGTAGGGTTTTCTTTTCATTTTATATTATGATCACTAAGGTGCTTGAAGCATATGTTTTCCATGGTTGATTTTCACTGAAGAGATATTGTTTTAAAAACGGAAGTAAAAGCATGACGCACGCTCTTTGCATTTTACCGGGAAATGAGAGTCTCTTTATTAAAATCTTTAAAACATATTTATTTAAACATAGCCTAATAATGATTTATCTCTAATTCACCCACAAATAATTGGAATATTATTTTGTATTAGCCTACTTGGATCTGCGCGTAAATAATGTAAACATGCAGATGTGAATTTATAGCTTTTTTTCTTTTCTTGTTTTCATCCTAGCTCATGATGTAAACAGCGAGGACACAGTTGAGGGTGAGCCAGTAACTGGAAAAAAGGCTCGACTTGAACAAGATTTTGAGCAGCTTTTTGGGCCACACTACAGTGGGAGGAAAACGGGACAATCCACAGCAGCCGAAGAAATACGTGAATATTTTTTAGCACCACATATTCCCACGATGGAGAACCCCTTGCAGTGGTGGGCCCGCAACCACGACAATTTTCCCCGTTTGGCCAAGCTTTGCAAAATATACTTGGCTGTTCCAGCTACCAGCACCCCAAGCGAGAGGATTTTTTCACTGGCTGGGAATACCATCAGCCGACTGCGGGCAAGCCTCCATCCAGCTCACGTTGATCCCCTCGTGTTCTTGCATGCAAACCATAATCGAAAATTACAAACTGTGAATGAGCAGGACTGTGACAGTGAATAGGCGTGTTATCGTAGTAGTAAAGTGTTATCTTGATTAAATAGCATTGTTATGCCGAAATAAAAAAATGCATTAAAACGGGAGTTATATTGTTGCATTATAACCGTTAGTTGCAACATATGAGCTGTATAATTTTAGCATTGTTATGCCGACATGCATCGATAAAAATTGAACTAAAACGGGAGTTATATTGTTGCATTTTAACCGTTCGTTGCAACATATGAGCTGTATAATTTTAGCATTGTTATGCCGACATGCATCGATACAATTTTTTACTAAAACGGGAGTTCCGGTTTCATTTTATCCGTTAAGTTGCAACATATTAGCTGTATAATTTTAGCATTGTTATGCCGACATACATCGATACAATTTTTTACTAAAACGGGAGTTATATTGTTGCATTTTAACCGTTAGTTGCAACATATGAGCTGTATAATTTTTGCATTGTTATGCCGACATGCATCGATAAAAAATTTAACTAAACCGGGAGTTACTGTTTCATTTTATCCGTTAAGTTGCAACATATGAGCTGTATAATTTTAGCATTGTTATGCCGAGATGCATCGAATAAAAAAAATGCATTAAAACATGAGTTATTGTTGCATTGTTAACGTTAAGTTGCAACATTATGAGCAGTATACTTTTTTTAATTTAAGTTGCAACATACCGGTAAGCTGTATAATCAGCATCTGTATATGTTCTGCTAATAAATTGTGGCATGTTGCAAAGCAGTCCCATCTCTTGTGTTTTGTATATGACATCAACGACTAGTCGACGTCGACTCGACTTTCATGTCATAACAGTCGACTTTAAATAATTTGAGGTCGTTCAACCCCTAGGATACGCAGTTCCAAGATAGGTCGTAACCCACCACTTTTATTGGATACAATGAAGTACAGGCTGAAGAAGCCGGTCTTCACATCAGCTGAAGGGACCGGCTCGATTGCGTCCTTCGCCAGTAGGACTGCAATCTCTGCCTGGTGAAGGCTGGGGGACGCCGGGTAAACTGAATCGCATAGCTGAGTCTGATGGTACGGATGAGCCAGCGAGACGGGCTGGGAAGCGCTAGCCAGGCTCCCAGAGACCGTACAACGTCACGACAGACGTACCTGAGGTGGGGCAGCGCAGCGGAATACAGGAACCCGACTCAGACGGCATAGCGGCCCAAGTGGGGTCTGAGTGTGCAACACTAACCTGGCTCCACCGATCGGCAGGGGATGAGTGAGACGGCATAGGCGCGGCATCAAGCACATCAGGCTACCGCTGGCGAAGCAAGAGGGGGCAGAGGGTGGCAAGGCATAGCGTCTCTTGGGACCCAGAGATAGAGAAGCTGCTTTTGCTGAGAATTTGGTACCGCTGGCTGAAACGCCAGTGGCGGAACAGAATGATTCAACAAGTTCTCCGTCCGGCCCTCCTCCGGGGAAGAGCAGCAGACTCTGGGTCGCCCGTCTCAGGGCTGCTGAGATGGGTGGTGCCGTCTTCCTGCGAAAGCTCAACGTCACAGTAGAGCTGGCTGTGGCTGAGTTTTGTTTTTGGCAGGGGACTGACACCCTTGGCGACTCAGGGAGCACATTGTGGCAAGCTTTTTGGTTACCTCAGCCTGCTTTTGAACTGCGGAGAACCGCTGGGCACAGTCTCCAACAGTGTCGCCGAAAGGCCACCTCGTGAGATGGGAGCATCGAGAAAGCGAACTTTGGCGATGTCTCATACCTCTGCAAGGTTTAGCCAGGGGGCGCTTCTGGACCACTAGGGTGGACATCATCTGGCCGAGAGCCAGCGCTGTGACTTTAAACATGGTCAGTCACCAGGCGCAGCTCAACCCCAACTCAGAACTACCTTGCAGGGAAGAGGCGGTCTGCAGTAGCACTGCTGCCCCACCATTGAGGGTAGTGAGAGAGGAAAAACTTTCTGCAGCTTTTGGCACACTTGGCTTGCCATATTGGCACCAAAAATGCTTCCATACTGCAAAAAGTTTTTCACACATCCGGGAAGGCACGGGGGCGTTGCAAGGCGATTACGCGTCATACTGTGCCCCCAGTATAACCCGGGAAAGCATGGCTTTCAAGTTTGAATCTGATTCAGCATGAGCATGCACATCATTATAGTGGGAGCTCAGCAACATCTTCATTTCAAGAGAGTAACAACCCTCTGTCTGATGTAGCTAGCAATCGATGTCTATCCTCCCCTGGAGCCCCGAATGAAATGCTAGGTCCATCATGAGAATGACCAGCATCCCATCCAGAAGCTGCCAGGCATGCGAGACAGTGAATGTGGCCGTTACCTGGGCGGCACACAGCTCGCTGATCGTGTAACCTTAATGAAAAAGGCAAGTCGAACAACGTGCTGACGTAGTTATGTTCTCATAAGAGAATACAACCACCCACAAACAGAGTCTCAACATGTATGCGATGCGATAGAGGAGTGAGGGGCCCACAAGAATTGGTTACCAGGCGGGGAAGCCCTCACTATAATCCTCCGGTCACCCTGGCTATATGCAGAAGTAGCCCTTTTCCGGAGCACCAGAAAAAGAACTAGATCGGGGCATAGGCGAGGGGACTCCACCTCGTTTGAGGCACTTGAGTCTCGACCGCGCATCTAGAGCGCCGAACGATGCACGGTGGGTTGCCGTGACAACCCACGCTGTCAGCCGGCAGCTCGACGGCACGCTAATCACTTAAACCTTAATAAGAAAGGCAAGACGAACAACGTGCCGACGTGGTCATGCTCTCAGAGAGAACATAAACCACCCACGAGCACAGTTTCAGCACACTTAAGCCCAGGCATGTGAAACAGTGATCGTGGCCATCACATTTGCCATCACGGTTTGAGTGTACGTTTTGAAAAAGACGCAGTGTCAAACCGTGTATGCTCTTTCAGGAAAAACTGCTCTCTCTGGTGCTGAAGCACCCAGGGATTAACGCGGCTACACAAACAGGACGATAGTGCAAGCCTGATGTGAGCACTCACATTCTCATTGAAGGCACAACATTCTGAGCTGTGAAAACAGCTGTTTTGCCGGCTCTCTGTGAGAGCGCTGTCTGCGCTGTAACACCAACACCAGCTTTGAAGAGGCGTTCCCCTGAAGAGCAGACTCGTTTTCTTCTTTTGAAGTTGAACACTGTCAGAAGATTGAAGAGCAGGAACAGTAGAACCGCTCGGCTCCGAAGCGAAAGACAATAAGCGACGCAACTGCTGCTCGTTATATGCTTGCGCTGCAAGCAGAGCAGCTGATGCAATTATCGCCTGCCAATATGCATTGGCTCGTTTTAATACTCTCGAAGTAGATTGGTCTCTCAAGGCGATCCCAATTACGTCGTCACGTCGATGTTACGTCGAATGTGAGCGACTGAAAGGGAACTGAATGGGGTTGTCATCTGCTCAATGTGTTGAACATTAAACAATGCTTTGAAAATCACTCTTACAATCGCACCCTGTTCTCCATATTTCCTAACAGAAGAGCAAAACAAGCCTGCCATCATGTCTGAGTAAGTCTGTAAACACAGCTTCAACTGGAAATAAATCACTAATACACATACAGTTCTAAACCTAAAGTGTTGAAATATTTTTTTTCTCCCCTAAAATCCTAACAGAAAAAAGATGACCTCAAGCCGTCGGCATTATCTCAAGGTAAATTTGTGTCTGTTCAGTTTGTTTTTACTTTACAGTTGTGTGTTTTGTTGCATGTGTCATTTGTTCATTGTTTGTTCTAGAGTTTGATACTGGGTATAGCCAAGGACCTGCTGGAGGCTGAGGTAAAGCAGATAGAGGAGGACAGAATTCACTATATGGAGGAGAAATGTCCTCCTCTGTCTCTGCCTGGCTCTGCACAGGAATTACAGGTACATATGCACAAAATGTTTTAACTTTGTTTATTATTATGACAGTTTTTTACTCTGTTGTTAAATCTGTTGTTTCTCCCATGTGGTCAGGATCTGTGCAAACAGCTTCATCTGCAGATTGATGTGGTGGACGAGGCGAGATATGACATGTCTGTTAAAGTGGCCAAAAGTGACAAAGAGGTTTTCTTATTATTTTCTTTCATTCCTCTATCCATTTTGAGGGTTTGACTATCAGCAAATGACACTGTGCGTTTTTGTAGATTGAGGATCTGAAGATAAAGGTTCAGGACCTGATAGGTAAATTCAAGAAACCTGCTCTGAAGAAAGTGCGAATGTCTGCTGATGCCATGCTGCAGGCCCTGCTGGGCTCCAAACACAAAGTGTCCATGGACCTGAGAGCCAACCTCAAACAGGTCAAGAAAGAGGTCAAGGAGGAGGTGAGCACACACTATGACAGTCAAGAAACTAAGACCTGTCCAATATAATTTTTAATCTTGACATTCTTTTGTGAATTATTTTAGGATAAGGAGGCAGTGGGAGACTGGCGTAAGAACATCGAGGATAAGGCTGGTATGGGTGGCAGGAAGAAGATGTTTGAATCCGAGGCTTAAACAGGCAGCCATTTTCCTTTTGGAGTTGACTTCTGATGGATATTCTGTTGTTGCAAATTTTGCTGTCAAAAAAGTGCTTTTGCGTCCAAACTTCACATCCAACAAGCAGTAACTAAGTTAATCATAGTATTCAGAATGTCATCATGTACTACATGAATGATACATGAACTCACCCTAACAAATAAAAATGAGAAAATGAACTCTGTCATCTGATTTAATCATCCCTCACATTCCAAATTCCCTTGATTCTTCTGATCATTCTTCATTCCTCTTAAAGGTTGTATCAACGATTTTCAGGGCCAAAAAAGGCCCAAACATAAATTATCACATCCATCTAATCTTTCCTAACGATCCGCTAGCTGCCCGCCCCATTAGCAGGCCGTCAAAAAACGCGTCTCTGTAGGCAGCCTAGGCTCTGAGATCTGCACACAAAAACAATTGGTTTCACCAACCACCCAAAACCAAAATAAATAGTGTTCCAACCACACAGGTTTCCTGTGGAACTCTTATATTAGGCACTGTGTGGAACCGTTTTGGGTGCCTCCAGGAACCTTTTTTTTTTTTCATATTGTTACTATGGTTACCATTAACTTCTATTATAATGAATAAACTGAACCAAATACAAAATAAGAATTGTTTATTACATATTTTAGACCAATTTTAATACATACACTTCCATGCACTTGGGAGGGAAAGCTAGTAATAGATTAATATCAATGAATAGAATACACAAAGAAATTGTATAATACACAAGCAACATGAATAATCAATGTACAGTATATACAATAGGCTATACAAGAAAAGACATCTCAACAAAATGCGTGGAAACACATGCTCCGTTTAATAAATCATTTTTGACATTAACATTTTGACTACCCTAATTAAAAATGTGCATCTTAACTTAACCTGTTAAGTTTTGTAAAAGCTTGTTAAGTCTGACGTCACTGTTTCTAAATCCAAAAGCTCTATCAGATGTCAAAAACAAACAAACGGTTCTAATATACACTCATTATGCTGTAATATTCCAGAAAATTATGATCCTAACTTTATACCGAAATCTCAGATGGTAGTTATTCAGCTATTTTGAATTGTAAAATATTGAAGTCTGGGATGCCGTGAGACTGGAGACTCTAATGTACACTATGGCTTTTGAAAAGCTTAAATGTGTGACTTGAATCAACAGTGCTCTCACAGTGCTCTCACTAGAAAAAAGATAGAGGAAGTAGAAGTAGAGGCTTCGACCCGGAAACAGTATTCCTTATATATCATGTCACAACAAGCAGAAAACATTTTCCATTATAACAGGGTTAAGGTGCTGTAAAATTAGCTGTTGTTCTGTGAATTTCCACTGGTGAATTCCAGTCATTTCCATAAGAATCCACAAGATCTGCAATTTCGTGTGTGGTCAAAAATGTCACTATGGGGCCAAGTTGGTCACTTGAATTCGCTGGATTTGACCAACAGAAAGCTGCTTGAAAGTGACTCCTGTGTGAGCTGTGCTTCATACATCACGTCACTACACTGCTGACAATGGTCAATAGACTTTTTTGGCTGTGTAATTTCATGAAATTCACAAATGTGACCGCACCTTTACTCGCTGCAACATAAAATGCAATCAATAATAAAATCTTTACAAGGGACATGTGAGGTACTTAAAGGGTGGTTCAGAATTTTGGACATCGTGCCTCATTTCCAAGGTAGCCTTAGTGTTATTTATCAGTGGAGACAGTTTTCAAAAAATTTCATCCAGTCGTTCCAGTTGCATAGTTCGCCAGTGCTAGGCTAGCGCGAGTCAACGGTAACTGCTAGCCTGCCATTAAAAACAGTTTTACCCACTCCACAGTACACCAAAAGCAAATAAATTATAACGCCAGACTATCGATGTAAAAGTCTGTTAAGAGAATAATGTTAAAAATCAAACTACTCTTGCATCTCAATGATTGCAATACATTTACAGGAACTAGTTTCTCAGCAGCGGTGGAATTTTACTATGCTCCGGTTAGTAGTACTGCGGCGAAAAGTAAACACAGAACAGAAGCGCACTACAGTCGGGACTACCTGTACTACCTCTCTCTACCCATAGATATCCATAATAAAGGCTAGATGTCTTACGGCGGAGTCTCTATCGCCATCACCGGCGGCGATCTTGTCACAGGCAAGCTTTCTGGCGGGCTCTGTGGTACATGTAAGATGAGTGATCAGCACGAACACAAATACTCTTATCTAATCTTGAGGATTTACAAACGGTTTGGTTTCTTACAAACGTTATTAACGTGGCTATAATTCTGGATGATTATTTATTGATACACAACATAACTACATCTCTGACGTTTATAACAAACCAAACCGTTTGAAAATCGGTAGAAAATTGAGCAAGTTATGGTTATTTAAAAAGTACATGCACCATTAAAACACAATGTTACGAGTGAGCGAGCTGCCTGTGACAAGATGGCCTCCAGGTGCGAACATCGACCTCCATTGGCCAGCAGCGCGGACGAGACATCTAGCCTTTATTATGGATATCTATGTCTCTACCTCTCTCTCTCACTACCTCTCTCGGTTGCCTAGGTAACTTAATATCACTCCGCCGCTGCTGTAGACTGGGCTAATAAATACAGGGAACGTATTACTATTGCAATGCGATGAAAGGGTAGTTTGATTTCTAACATTATTCTCTTAACAGACATTTACATCGACTCACACTTATTTAAAAATTATTATTATAATGTTTTTATAAAAAACAACACTGGCATTGTGTAAAGAAACTGGCGTTTGAGGTGTTAAAACTTTGATAATTAATGAATGTTTGGTAATTTTGGTTAGAACTAATGCTAAAAAAATAAAATCTATAATATTTTTATGACAGTTTTTTGACATGGACATTTTTGTTCATAATGAACCATAATTAACCTATGTGTAACTTTTTTTAATTGATGCACAAGGGTTAAGTTTAAGTTCTAGATCGGTCCTTTCCCAATCCACATTTATACTCTTCTGCCCTGTAATTTCCTGTCTCCTCTCCATTATCCTTTCTGCAATAAATTAAAAGTGGTGTAGGGAATCTCGGGATTAGCTCTATTACAGGGAATTTAGTTTTAATAACTCTGAAACATGATCGGGAATCACCTACAAATTATAAAATTACCCACTAAAGGGAAAAGTTACCAATGGCCTGGCCTGTTTGGACAGCCGAACACAACGAATTATGATCAGTTCTCCATCCAGGTCGGCGAAAATAGATCAATTTGTACTATCAATAATCAATCATAAGAATTATAATTATATATTAATATATCAATTCTAAGGATACCCCTAATGGAATTAATTCAGTATCGGATGATCTGTTTGTCCAGCAAACTGATCACGCAAACTTTATCAACTCGTACAGAATTATACTACTTTATAGACTTTCAAGAGAAGCCATTCCTCTGGCCACGAGGATTAACTTTCCTGTTCTATAACAATACCTTTTTAAGTATCAATAAATTTGTAAAGCACATAGCTTTGGATCGTACATTAAAGGGACTTGTATATGAGCAAGAGACAGTCAGTCAAATGAATATAATGTATTTTAATAAATGGAAACTACGTTACAGTTATAAAATGTATATATAAACAGACTAAAACGACAAAACAAGACACTGAAAGAATCTGAAAGTGAAAGAAACAGGGAGAGAGTGAGAGAGAGAGAGGGAGATCCGTAAGGATCACAGACTTTGGCAAAATTCACCTGGACAAAACCTTTGAGAGACAACACGTAAAAACGTCTCTGGTTACTCACGTAACCGTAGTTCCCTGAGAGGAGGGAACGAGACATTACGTATGGGGAAATACATTGTCCTCGAATCATGAAGTCTGATAGAATAACTCTTTTGCTTGCAAATAGCCAATGGCGGTCCCGCCATCACCTGATTGGCTGACACTGCTCAATATAGGTGACGGCGGGCGCCAAAAACCTCAGAATCTTAGCTGAACGAGAGTAAGGAGACTGAGAGTCCCTCCCACACGGCAGGTTACGTAATGTCTCGTAGTAATCAGAATAGCCATTGCACTGAAGGATACAGGGCAATATACAACGGCAAATTCATATAGTGTGCAGTGTGTACGTAAACACAGTGTCAGTTGCATCGCGCAACAACTGTGAATACGTACTGCGTAGTAACCAGAATAGCCATTGCACTGAAGGACACAGGGCAATATATGGCATAAATCATTACACATAACAGTGTGTAGTGAGTACGTAACGCAGCGTCAGTTACATCGCGCAACAACTGTGAATACTTACGGTGTAGTCATCAGAATAGCCATTGCACTGAAGGACACAGGGCAATATATAATGGCATAAATCCTTACACATAACAGTGTGGTGTGTACGTAACACAGCGTCAGTTGCATCGCGCAACAACTGTGAACACGTACTTGTAGTAATCAGAATAGCCATTGCACTGAAGGACACAGGGCAATATATAATAGCATAAATCCTTACACATAACAGTGTGGTGTGTACGTAACACAGCGTCAGTTGCATCGCGCAACTGTGAACACGTACTTGTAGTAATCAGAATAGCCATTGCACTGAAGGACACAGGGCAATATATAATGGCATAAATCCTTACACATAACAGTGTGGTGTGTACGTAACACAGCGTCAGTTGCATCGCGCAACAACTGTGAACACGTACTTGCAGTAATCAGAATAGCCATTGCACTGAAGGACACAGGGCAATATATAATGGCATAAATCATTACACATAACAGTGTGGTGTGTACGTAACACAGCGTCAGTTGCATCGCGCAACAACTGTGAATACACACTGTGTAGTAATCAGAATCGCCATTGCACTGAAGGATACAGGGCAATGAATGCTGCGGCGGGGGCTGGGCGCCAGCCACCGGGGAAGCATTGACTGCTATATGAAATGGTATAGCTCGTCCGCGGCATCATGCACGGGGACATAGATAGCCATCTCCTCGGGTTTCCCCGAGCTTCCGCTCTGCGATGCGTCTCCCGGGCGTAGCCCAAATTCTCTGCCCCTTCCACTGCAGTAGCAGCTGGGTACCTTGTGCATGGGCTCGGGCTGAGTAAGGGGAGCGCCATGATCTGGTGAGTTCCTCGTGGAACTCCGAGAAAAAAAGAGGGGGGCGGGTCGCTTCAGCTCGACGGCCCGCGCCGAGGCCACCTTTCCGACGGCAGCTCCTT